ATATGTGTATATAATATAATATACACACATATTATATATACACACACAAATATATAATATATGCATATTATATATATATATATATATATATATATATATATATATATATATATATATATATATATATATATATATATATATATATATATATATATATATATAAAACACGGCTGGAATGTACACAGTTTAATTTGAATCTGTCTATATGTCTGGAGTTTATTTGCTTGACCGATCCAGACCTGTTTGTCTTTAGACGACATTAGTCGACAGAAAATCACTGTACAAATAAACCAAACTGATGTTTCAGTGGAAGTAAGCGCACCCTAAATGCATCTTACTCCTCATTAGCTCCTGTTTCTCCTCATTACAAATTAAAAAATTTTGCATTTTGGAGCCAAACTGCAACAAAGATCCTCCTGTCTGACTTTGTTGCTAAAACCGAACCTTTATCGCCACGTGACGTGTTCAGAATAACAAATCACCGCTTACAGCAATGTGCCGTTTACATGTGTGTGCCACTACATCATACTCACATGCACCTGTGTGTGCTTGCTTATGAAAGACTGTGAGGCCCTTTATAGTGCGTGTACTGAGGGTGTGTATGTGTGTGAATGCTCAAAGGAGGAGGCTGTGCCCTGCACTACTTAGGAGAGGCGTGGGAACCCCATTCATCTGAGGAGGCTCAGTTCATTGTGGGGTACATAGCATCAAATGTGTCTGGGTGTTTGCCTGTGTGTGTGTGTGTGTGTGTGTGTGTGTGTGTGTGTGTGTGTGTGTGTGTGTGTGAAAGACTGGATCTTGAGTGTCTGGTGTAACTTGGAGGTTTTTGTGGGGGGTTTTGTGTTTTTTTTATTATTAAATCATGAGTGTAATACATATTGAATTTAATCCACAAAAATAATTTCTCAGATACTTTCTTCTTTATTTTTCTTTTAGTCCAGATAAAATGTTCTGCAATAGTCAGAAAAAATAAGCAAGATTTTGTTTGCTACTCATCATAAATATAAGATGAGGATTAAAATCGCTTGTATTTCTATTCGAGATATCCCCGGTGTTTGTTCTGTGGGAAATATTTAGTAATTTCCTGCACAGTTCTGAAACCGTACGCTGTTTTCAAGTCCAAAAAAGCTAATTAAACACGTTCAGACTGTGTACGTCAGTGCATTTCAATGCAGGGTAATGCAAAAAAGGAAATGGAAAAGACAACGTGCTATATTGAATATTATATTCAATATAGCATGTTCCTTGAGGGTCCGTTGGACTCCAACAATGACGTTCTCCCTGTCCAAACATCGTTGATTTACCTCCTAATTTCACCCCAGCGAGGCCCGCGGAAAGAGCTTTGGAGCCACTAAATAAGGGAGCCACATTGGGGGCCTCTTGTGAGGGTGACAGTGATGAAGTAGCCTGTGTTGGGCCCTGTAGGGCGAGAGTGGCAGATGAATAGGGCCTGTCAAACGTGGGATGTAGGTGGGAAGGAGACTGGAGGTATCTGGGATGACTCACGCTCCCTCCACTCCTCTGTCATTTGGTCATGGTCGACTGTGGAGCGATATCGATCCGGATTAAACAAGAAACACACACATTTTTCAATTAGCGAAGGCCAAAAACCTGATTTACGGGCACTGATTAATAGACGTTATGCTTCATCGCGTTGACGAGGGGGTGTGGCGCAATTCAGGTTATTGAATTGCGTGTAAAATCTCACACGACACTAAAAAATTGCAGCGAATATTCTTCTCGGATGAAACAGGTTCCAACTTTTCCAGATTTGGTCAAGCTACACCTACTAGGCTTCAGCCAAAGTTGAGTCACTTTATCAGAGTCCAAGAGGAACAAGAAAGAAATGATTTCTCGACGCCCATGTTAAAGAAATTATAAAAAATAAATAAATAAATAAATAAAAAGTTATACAATTGGCCATATTAATAAAAAATTGCATGCTAAGCGGTACTACTAATAGTTTTGTTCTGGCTTTATTAAAACTGCAGGGAGCCACGTGTCAGCGGTGACCCATTTTCCAAACATGTACCTGACTATTAAGAGTAGCAAACGAGTGGATATTGAGGGAAACGAGGGTTTAATGACACCTAAAGGCTTTCTACTCGACAATCACGGGATTGAGCAAGAAGGAGAGGGACGTATGGAGGAGCAGTGCATTGTGGTGGAGCTTGGCCTTGTGTTGCAGGCCTCGTCTGGCCCTCAGCCTTACATTACAGCACCGGTTCCCTGCCTGCTCCCCTCCATGAAGACTTCTCGCTCAACCACAAACACATCCGAGAAGCAAAACCAGATTCCAGATGAAAAGAAAATACAACGAGATTAAGGCGGTTTGAAGAAAACGCCACGTCTGCCACGTTCGACTTGGATAGTTGTGCGGCCGGATATTGTGGAAAGAAGTGAACATAATGGTCGAGCTCCTAACGTTTGGTTTGCAAAAAGAAAATCGAGTACACATTCTCACACGACCTGAACCGCACGCCGACTGACTTACCCGCTTCGGAGCGACTGGAATCGGCCGTCCAGGATAAACCGTGGGGTTCTCTGCGGACTTATTGCGATGGAAAACGTCCACGGCAGCACACGGTATGCCCACATCTCCTTCCTGTAGAGAGGAGCAGAGACAGGGAGCTTCAGCTTCAGTCACACAGCTCTGCACTCGCTGCAAGGAGTAGGCGGGCACGCCAACGTTGAGACCCATTCAGCGTCCCGGAAAGTATCAGCCTCCTCCGTCTGCGCCCAACGCCTTTTTCATACGCCAGCCTTTCCCCCTCTGCCAGAGATTTCACCCCTGCAATCGCCAAAACGGTCGATACGCTTCGAGAAAATCCCTCCCCAGCCTCGGCTGACTGTCTGATATCTACAAACCAGCTCATGCTGCCGCTCTCCGTCCCTTCGCCTCCGATTCTGGGCCCGCCACAATAAGGGGGAGGCCATGTGGGTTTCCTACGGAGTCGCGTGCTCCTCCCGTCTGGCAGCTAACCGAGCTTTGAATGAGGAATGTTAGCAAACAGAGCTGCTGAATGTTGGATGAATGCTACGCCAGGCAGCCAGTCAGATCGCAGTACCGGGCCCGGGCACATGAATAATGCAGGGCAAAAAAAAAAAAAGAAAAAAAAGCTCAGCTCCACCTCTTCCCTCTCTGCCTCTGCCTGCCCTCCTCTTATCCCAGCTCGAAACTCAAATGCCTTCACGGGAGCGAAAGAATTCGAAATCTCTACTGCTTAACACTCTTGCAGTGGAAAATAATTGCAACAGGAGAGTATAGTCATGCATACGCACGCTATTAGTGCAGATAAGCTCTTGATGCATGCCATTTCTGTCCTCCTGGCTTAAATCTATCCCTTTTTTCAGTCTTTTGTTAGAAACTGGCACCTGTCCTAGAAAAAGCCTGGCCGCTGCTCCACCCTCCTGCTACCCTTTAACTCAAGACTGCCCATGACAGAGAGAAGGAAAGAGAGAGAGAGAGAGAGAGAGAGAGAGAGAGAGAAAGGAGGGTGGGGCAGAGAAGCCAAAGAGAGGGAACGGTGTCCACAGATGGAAGGTGGAGGGCACGGCAGATAAGAGCATAGGAAAATAAAGGAGGAGAATTCAAGGTAAATGTTCAGGAAACACAATCCCCGAGGCCAGTCCAACAACGGCCGAACGCTCGCCTTCAGCTTCAGCGGGGAAGGACTTGTGAGGAACAGCAGTGGAGAAGCACGTGGTCGAAAGGGAACGAAGCAAACGCAGAGTCTTTCAAGTCCGGTTACCGACAAATCAGCCGGAGACGTCCCCACAAGCAGAAACGAAGAGGAAAGCAGCAAAGCAAAGCCACTTGTTGCACGAGAGCGAGGAAGAGATCTTGCAGAGAGACGGAGTGAGAGCAGGCAGAGGGTTAAAATCCCAGGACTGAGAGTAGAGAAGAATCCCTCCCTCTTTTGGCACAGGGTAGCTAAAGGGGAGGGACCCGCCTGTAGAAATAGCAACAGAGCGTTTTTCCCCTCTCTCTTTTTTTTTTTTTTCAGGGCTGCAGTGTCCTAGTCTAGCCTCTCGCATGTGGCCGGGACCCAGGGAGAGAAGAAGAGGAGGAGGAGGCGAGGAGCGATGGATAGAAACCGAAGCAGGAGCCAAGAGGGGAGGGAACCCGGAGAGGGAGGGAGACGAGCGCTGTGAGTGGAGGACGAGGAGCTCAGCTGATGATGAAACAGGGGAAGTGTGGGAGTGTGCGCGCTACGCGTTTTCATCACCGAGTCCGGCGACGTAGTGTCCACGAGGCAAGGCAGGGAGGGAGCTGGAGGGGGTGAGGGGTGTCAGGAGCTCCTCTCCTTCAGGAGGACAGTCACAGAAAACTTACAAATGATTCAAGGATTCAGCTGCTCAGAGATTAACAATCCATCTTTGGACCGGACTACTTCCTTTAATCAGTAAAACTTTCCAGGGAGGAAGCAGTGGCGTTGGGGTTATTGAGGCCAGAAAGCACGTCAGCTATGACGGCTCTACTGTCTTTCTCCTTGATCACGGACACATTAATGAGTGGCTTTGACTGATCTGGCATGTGGTCAAAGGCAGATAAGCGCCTGGGTGTGACTGCGCCACGCCATGCAATAAAAACGCTTCAATATTAACCGCAGTGTGCCCGGCATGTGCTGCGTCCGGGCAACCCCCTCGCCTCGCTGTGAACAGTCCGGCTGTAAGCTAGCTACAAAATGTCGTCCTGCAAGCGTCCAGCTTGACTGTCTCCTACCATTTTTAGTCTGCTCTGTCACGAACCAACATACAGCTCTGCTCTGAGTGGCGGGGATAATCTTTTTTTCAGTTCTTTCAGCACCGGATACCAACCCTCCCTTCTTCCTGTCTCACCTCTGGATCAGCATGCTGAAGGTTACTCATGCCAGTCTGCTGTCCCCCCACCCCCCTTTTCACTCCAACGCCTCCTTGAAAAACTTCTGTGTGTCCAAAACGCTGTAATGCCGCCGTATCTGCAACAGATTCCCCCATGGCACAAGAAAAAAAAAAAGAGACAACTTCCTCTCTTTTGGAAGCAATTCCCCTCCCCTGCAGTCATCTCTTTCCCAAAAGAAACCAGAACTCCACACAGGCACATTTCCCCCCCTTCCCACCCCACACCACCACCTCTCTCTGCTCTCCCTGAAGTAGCAGCTCTACAAAAGAGAGGGGAAAACTGACTGAGATCTCACATCTCTGAGCAAAACTAAGGCAGTTTTGAGTTAAATCTGTCCTCAGCGCCTTGAGCCTCAGTACGACACGAATCGATCAGTGAGGGAAGTTTGGACAGAAGAGTGAGGGGTTTAATTTGCACGTTCTCGATAGAAGACGAAGAACAGGAGAGCAAACTAATATGGCTGCTCAGTCTTGGAGGCTGAAAGAAAAAAGGCGTTATGTTACGTAGCTGCATGTGTGGCTGGGAGAGAGGGAAAGTCTTCTCTTTTCAGCCTTCTGCAGATAAATCTCAACATATCGAACGACGAACAATGCAGAAAAACTAAGTGGGACAAGGATTAGAACCGGGGTTCAACACGGGGAAACGCATCACTTCTTTGCTCTTTTTTGGGGGGGATATAAACACACTCGTGTCCCTTGTTGAGAAAAAAAAAAAAAAGGGTCGTGCAACCAAATAGTCGTCGGGTCCTGAACCCCCTGTGACGTCACATCTCGCCATGTCTGGGGAACCAATGGGAATCTCCGCGCGCGCGAAAACGCCACTACAACTGCGTCCTGAATATAAATCAAACAATCGTTCGAAACAAACGCAAGCCTCATCTGTGATCCGTAGAGTTCCCCCTGAGCTCCTTGTGCTCTGTCTCAGACGCTGTTTCTGCTAGTTACTTGTTTACCATCTGACATGTGGCAGGAATTCAAAAAACTTGGCAGAGCCTGTTGCTCCGGGTTCATTCGAGGATACGGCTCTGGTTTTGGCTCGGCTGCCAACTTCTGACACTGAAGCCCTCAGCGGCGGCCTCGCCCCGGCAGGAGCGGCCCGCGTAATGCTGCCATTGATGAAACTCCAATATTAACAACCCTCATTTATGACATCTCTATGAGCCTGCAACAACTTTTTTTTCCCTTCCCCCTACCCTGAGTTAAAGCAATCTGTGCTCAGTGTTAGCATAGATTTACTAACAGCTTGCTGCATTATTAAGATTTGATGAGCGTGTAAGTTGTGTGCACATTTAAAGGAGGTGAGGAAAGATGAGACAAGCAGTTTTAGGCTTCAACAGTCCCTTGGATCTGCGAGAATTAAAGTAAACAAGAGGGGGATCTGAAAAGACAACTTTGCAAAAACCGACCTACCACAGCCTGTCGGTGTTGCACAACTGAAGTTGCACAGTGGCAACAGAGCAGTCAAAATTAACTCCCTCCTGAACTAATACAGAGAAGCTGTTAACTCAGAGGTCCCGTCGGACCCCCCGTGTTGTCACTTCTTTATGAGTCATCCCACAAATCCACAGCCGCAGACAATGCCAGCCAACATACAGAACCGCTCGCTGCAGCAGGGAAAGCAGATCTGGACTTTGTGGGTATTAAACATAAAGGTATGAATCACAGGCGCTAATTATGACAAAGTAATGAAGGAGAAAGTTTTCAACTAATCTTATTGGTATCGTTTTATTCCCCTAAAAAGGAAAAGTGTTTTTGTTTTTTTTTAACTGGATGTGGACCAGTTAATGCTGTCAGTGTTTTAAGGTTTTCATCTTACAGTTTAAACTGATTTCCTTTACAGGATTGCAAAAAATTAAAATAAAAGCATCAGAGCGAACTACAGTAGGTTTTGTCCGGCTGCTTGAATCAGCATGTGCAGCAGGGCTGTCTCTCTCCCACCTGTTGCTGCACACTGCTCGTCGGCTGGCTGAAAGAAGGCTTTTATGCATTTCTCCTGCATGCAAGTAAGCGAAATTGTTTGTGATTTTTTTTTTTGAATAGTCGGAAATATTTATAACTATAAATATTTACGCCAGCAGTCACTCTTATTCAGGATTTATGAGGGGGAATAGTGAAGGGAGCAATATTCTGCCAAATAAACACATAAAAGCTATTATTAAATTTAGTGCTCTGGATATTTTCTTTGCTTTTTTTAAACACAGAAGGTAAGAAGAAGAATCAATCAGAGATATTTATGGCTTTTATGTCAAACTTCATGAAGTCCTGCTTTTTTTTTTTAGAACTACGGATAAATAAAGAGAAACTTTTTGTTTTTAAGAGTGTTTTCTGCTTTTTCATGTGTTTTGTGTAATTTATGAAATAAAAGATGTCAAAGCAAACAAAGAATCGTCACAGTGCTAACTGGACACGAGGGATAAATTTGCGTTTTAGTTCAAAAATCCAAAGTAGACATCCAACCAAAAGAAGCAGACTGTTCTTCTATGGCCTGTTCTGCATTTTTTTTTAAAAACATTAAGTTTTTTTACTCCAGGTTATCATCAAGTGAGAATCTTGTAACTTTTTTATCTAAATGTTTTTGAGTAGGTACGTACTGAAAGCTGTGGAGTTAAAGTGTCGGTACAGACAGACAGCATTTCAAACGCTGATCTTCAAAATCATTTCCTGCACTCTTAACTCTCTCCTGAACTTCCCATGTTGCATATTAAACCTACAGGTTACGAC